TTAGGGGCCAGCTATAACATATTACCAAGGTTCAATACTGCTGTTTCAGCAGGGTGGTGTTGGGGAAGGAGGGCTTTTTTCCACAGGGCGGGCGGCGCTGGGGGGGGGGGTTGTGTTTCGGGGGGGGCTGGGTGGTGCTGGGGGGTGGTTTTGGCGGGGTCGGGGGGTTTCAGCCCTCAGCTGTTTTCTTTGGAGTAATATGGCCCTCGCCGCTTTACAAGTTGTGCAGGCCTGGTCTAGATCCATCCTCTTTGGAACCCCCTTTCAGGTAGTTGAAAGCAGCTATCAAATCCCCCTTCATTCTCTGTATGGCATGCAATGCCATACAGAGAATGCCTCCTGTCTGTTTACAGGCTCGGGGTAACACTTACTGTTCCTGTGTAAGAAAAGGACAGCATCCTGATACCCTCGAGAAAAAAACTCATTCAGGACCTGTGGAGGAAAGCACCCAGAATCAGAAAGAATTCCAGCTGCGGGAAGTATTCTTCGAGGGGCAGAAGCCATGTCTTCTCTAATGCTGTTTGATATACCATGTGGAGAATTAACATCTGGGACTTGATCCTCAGCTGGTCTCAGTGCTTAAAGGGTCTCTGGTCAAAAGGGGCCATAGACCTGGCCAATAATACTTCTGCAACTCAAGCTGGTCACTGAGGGTTGCATGACCTGGAGGAAAAGCCCCTCTGATTGCTTGGCCTCCCCACTTCCCCACCTCCTGGGCTAGAGCAGCCAACCAGACTGTAATTTCTGGTTCTTGTCCTGCTGCAGGAAACAGGCAGAGCTACCCCCCAACTTCCCCAATGCCCTTTGCACTGGATGGGAAGAGGGAGCAGAAAAAATCCACCAGCTCAGGGCAGCTACACTCCCCCTTCTCCTCCAGTGAGCAACAGGTGCAGCACCTTTGCTCCTCCCCACTTCCCCCCATGCCACAGCACCTGGCCTGGGAAAGCAGGGGGCACCGGGGGGAGGGGAGGGAAAGACCCCCTGGGACCACCCCCAGCCTCAGCCTAGAAGGAAGGTGGAGGGGACCCTGGTGCAGATCTGGGAAGGGGGAGGTCAAGTACCCCAGGGGCGGCAGGAGGGCAAATGGATGTGAGGGCAGAATTGATGGGGAGCAAGAGAACAGGCAGCTGTGATGTTGCCAAGAGTTATGCCAGCCTACCTCAGCTGAGGATCGGGCCCATGGCGTCCGGAACTGGAGGTGCACATTAATCCCAGGACTGCGTGGCACAATCCTGGTTGGGTGGCACAGCAACAGATGTGTGCTGGGCCAGAGCTGCAGCTGGTGTAACCTGGCATTGACTTCAGTGGGGCTAGGCTGATTACGTTAGCTGAGGTTCTAGCCCCTCGTCTGCAGCGTAGGGATGTAGGGGGTCACCAGACTGGAGCAGACCCAAGATCTATCCCGTCCAGTATCCATCTCTGACAGGGGCCAGTCCCAGATGCTTCAGAGGAAGGTGTAAGAACCCCACAATAGCAGATGTGGGATAATCTTCCACCACCACCACTCACCTTTGAAGGTTTCAGCCTAATCCCTAATAGAGATCGATATAAGCCCTGAAGCATGGGATGGTGGGTCCCGAACTCACTGGCTCTGATAGAAGTAGTGCCAGTGGGTAGGGGTACCAGCTCAAAGGCTATCTCATCTGGGACAGCTACCTAAAAAGCGGCAATCCTGGGAAAACCTAGAGAGGTGGGAACCCTACTTGAGGGTAAGACGATTGAGAAGCACTGGGGTACATTGGTAGGGGCCACTTACCAGGTAGCTAGGTGGAAAGAGAGCATAGCTAATCCTGCACAGGTTTTCCACTGAGATCTGAATGCTGCTGTTAAAGATCTGAAAAGAGTAGAAGATAGCCGGGCAGTCCCGGGGACAGATGTCCAGCTCGCCCGTGAATGGGGACACCGTGATCACGGCCTCCAGGTCAGAACATGGTTGCAGGTTAGTGAAACCTCCGTCGACGTAGCGCTGAGGTAGAGGGTGGAAAACACAGAGGAGTTTGTTTGGAGAAGTTAAAAATAGGCAGCAGTGTCACAGCAATCAGGACAGGTGATCGTGTGAACAATGCAGGCCTTGTTCGTTACATGTGGGTGTTTGAATAGGGTACCTGCAACCTCAGTTGGGATATGCAAATTAGTAGCATGTATAATAATCCCTACCTCTTATCTAGTGCTTTTCATCAGTAGATCTCAAAGTGCTTTATAAAGGAGATCAGCATCATCACCCCCATTTTATAGCTGGGGAAACTGAGGCAGGGAGATGTGATGTGACTTGCCCTAGGTCACCCAGCAGGCCAGTGCCAGGAATAGAACCCAGGTCTCCTGAATCCCAGGCCACTGATCTCTGATCCCAAAGGACAAAAGTTCAGCTTGTGGCTAAGGCACAGGAACGGGAGTCAGGAAATGTGGAATGTATTCTTGCCTCTGCCACAGATTTCCTGTGTGAACTTGGACAAGTCACTTATCCCTTCAGTACCACAATGGGGGGGACAATGAAATCTGCCTACCACCCAAGGGGTATTGTGAGACTGAATGCATTACTTGCTTGTAAAGGAGCTTTGTAATCCTTGTAGGGGAAGTGCTAGCAAAGTGCAACGCACGTCTATTTTTAAAACGTTCTGTGAATCCTTAAGGCACTGGGGTGCCTTCAGGGCTGGCCACTTTGCTGCACTGTTTGCTTTGCTATGTTACATGGATAATTGTAGGGTGCATTGTGCCAATGAGGGAGGAAAGGTCTGTAATGGGGTCTGGATTCCTGGGAGGTAGGGTGACAAGATGTCCCGATTTTATAGGGACAGTCCCGATTTTGGGGTCTTTTTCTTATATAGGCTCCTATTACCCCCCACCCCCTGTCCCAATTTTTCACATTTGCTGTCTGGTCAACCAACTGGGAGGAGCTAGCCCCACCATACTCCTACCCCTATTTGGAACTTTGCCTATTCCCACAACCTGTCTTGCTTCTGCATGCCTCCTCCCACTGCCAGGTTCTCCCCACATAGCTAGGGGCCAAGAGCAGCTTGGGAGAGAGACTTATTGGCTGGAGTCCAGGGCCTGCCTGCATGGGAGGTGTAGCCAGTGGGACATGAGAATGGATGGGAAAGTTAAACCAAACCCCACCCCTGTTAAAAAACACAGGTTACTATAGAGCAGCCATTATGGTAGCGAGTGGCCTGTTGCAATGAACATGATGACACAATCCGGGGTGATTATTAAAGGCTTGTTGTCAAGATTATATAAAGGCAACAGGGCGGCTCATGAAGGCTTTAGCCCGCGTGGGAGGGAGTATCCCAGCTACTCCACTGGAATATCCAGCTACTCATGAGCCTGTTTGTCAAGCTTGTAAATACTAGACTCATGGCAACGCACTATGAGATCTCTGAATTTAAAGAGCTACTTAAAGGCAACATCCTGCGTCTTGTGCTTTTTTGTAGCGGAACTCCTGCTGGCTTTGGCAATTTCTGTATGGAACAATCACTTCCAACCCCCTAGGGAACTCTATCCGGACTACACTGAGCTGAATTCAACCACGGGTTACATTTGGGCTTTTATCCTCTCCGTGCGGGGTTCAAGAGACCCTGACATTTACAGCCGAAATCGAAACGGTGCGAAGCCACAGGGACTGAAACAGAGCAAACTAAAAGTCATTGAAACAGGAATAATCCAAGTGAACCCCCAGCAGCAAGATTCCCGGAGCTATAGATCACATCACACCCACCGCAGGGAATTCATGGATGAAATTCAGTGACTTGGATTATGCTGGAGGTCTGACTTGATGGCCCATTGCAGCCTTTAGATCTATGGAATGGATAGACCCTTAGCTAGTGTAAACTGACAGAAGTCTGTGGAGCAACTCCTATTTATGCCATCTGAGGATTTGGCCTTATGTCTGAGAGCAGAGCCTGGCAATAGATTGGTGAGGACAGAAATCGTATCCCCTGGAATATTTGCTAGAGAGCACTTACCACACCTCGGAAGGAGGGAGGGATGAAACCGCAATAGATAGGAACAAAGCAGCTGCAGATCAGTGCCTGTGAGGAGAAGAGACACACAGAAGGGTCACAGAAAAGCATACTTCACCCCCAAACTTCCCCAAGTTGAGAGGCGATTGGATTTATCGCCCAGAGATTCGGGCTTCTTTGCGGAGATACACTGGGACTGAGGTGCTGTGATCTGGATCCAAACTAGAGCCGGCCAAAACTTGGAATTTTCATTCTGGGAGAAATTCTGACATGTCAAAAATTTTCTTTCACCCCAACACAAAAAGCCAACATTCCAAATTTCCCAGGAAACCAAATTTCCAAAGCTTTCGTTTCAGAAATATCAAAACGACCCTATTGAAACAAATTGTCCCAGGGAGTTCAAAGTGCTTCATTTCAATACTGAACTATCATAGAACCAGGGTGGAAATGATAATGTCTAAAGGAAGCACTTTGGCCGTATCAAAATGAAACATTTTGATAATTTTGCATTGCAAATTGTGCTAAATCCGTCCGTTCCCACGAAACATTTCAATGTGGCCAAATCTGCAACAGAAAAATGTTCATCAGACAATTTTGAACAGCTCTAATCCAGACTTTTAAATGTGGGGTGGATCTTAGGGCCTAGTTGGTGATGCATCAATCTGTATTTAAATCAGGACAGGCATTGATAAGAACAGCATTAAATCCAACCTATTGGGGATGAGCGGGGGAAAGGGACTAGCATATAGGCTGCCTTCTGTCCCCTTGTTGGAATACAGCAGCACAGGTGGCCTGCTGGATTCTCCAAGCCCAAAGCCAAAAAGACTGATTGGGGGAGAAGGGCCAGCTGGAGCTGAGGCTGGCTGAGGGCCTGCAGCTGCCCTGAATGAGAGCCCAGCTCCAGGGGAGCAACTGGGGGAAACTACTGCCTTGAGGAGGGCTGGAGTAGCCGTCTGGGAGGCAGCCCAGCTCCAAGGGAAGGGGCTGAGGATTTATGTCCTAAGGAGAGACGGGGCAACTCCACAGAGCACAACCCAGCAGCCAGAAAGACTTGCAGAAGCTCCTCAGGAGCTGGATGGGAAGAAGCCCCCCAAGATGACCAAACCACGGAGCAGGAGCAATGGCATCTTCACTCTGGCAAGGGATGCGGGGAGAAGGTAGAAGCAGCCCAGGAAGGTGGCAAGGGATTGGAAGGAGCGGTCCTGACCTGCCTTACATAGGGTCCCTGGGCTGGGAGAGGGCAGGCAGGGGCTCCCCTGCCTCTTCCCCAACTGAGGAGATGGTATGAGCCTCAGGACTGAGAGAGGCAGCCTGGCAGTTGTGGAAGGGGAATGAGGCCTCGACATAAAGGCCCCTAGATGTGGGGACTTGGCTTGTTTAGACTGAATGAGGGACAAGGTTTGGAAAGTGCCGTGGCTGGGAGGCAGAGGTCGCAGCCTTCGATAAGGTTAGAAAGCTCCATAATAAGGGGCCCTAGGAACACTTAGCGGGGGCACTCCCGCAGTTGGCACACACAGAACAGGCTGTTTCCAGGAGCAGGTACCAATGAGAGCTACTTTCTGGCCACGTCTGGTGCTCGTAACTTAATATGCTGCTTCTGAACCTAGGCTCAGGGTGGAATCTCTGGACCAAGACAGAGGTGGAATTCTCTCCTCCCTCTACCTGTTCATGTACGTTGACTTCACCTCTCCCTCATGAACTCAGCTTGTGGTTTTTTCTCATTTAATTGCATTGCAGGCACAGCAGAGTGGAAACCCCATTACCTGAATCAGATCCTCCTTCGAACTGAACTCGGAAACCATGACATTCTGTCCGTCCGTCACCCGGGTGAGGGAAATGTGCAGCCTCCCCGAAGCTACCTGGTGAGAGTTCTCTGGCAACATCTTGTACAATCCCTTCTGTATGGTGCCGAGCGTGTTGCACCCGGGAGACAGAGGGCCGAGAATCGTTTTCCTGGCATCTCTCACTGCTTCATGGAAAGATTCTTTTAGGTCCTCTGATCGAGGGAGGGAAAACAAAGGTCGTTTATCACCAGCTTTCTTTAAAGGCCCAATAGTCCTAAGATTGTCCAACATGATACTCCTGTGTTTTCAGTCACGTATCATTTTGGCGAGCTGTAACCTTTTGGATGGAAATTGCTCACATTCACTCTCTGACCTAAGTGGAATATTTTCAAAAAGTTTGATCGACAACAGAGCAGCTGTTTTTGAGAAAGAAGTTAGTGACAAACAGGCAGTTTGGTCAACATTAATTATTTGTTGGTGTTCTTTTGAGCAGTGGTAGCGTCTTAGGGTATGTCTACACTTTGTGCTGGTTGGGGGAAGATTCCCAGAAATTCCAGCCTGAGGAGACGTAGCCACAGTAGCTCTCATCAAGCTTAATGAGAGCTAGTGTGTGTATGTCTCCTCTGGCTGGGGCTCCGTGACGGTCTCAGGGTACCCAGGACTGAAAGTCGCTGTGTTATCCTCTGCCTTCACTGAGAAGGAGTCATTTCTGTGCCTGCCTGGGTGTCATCTCACTGACACCACCAGCCTGTCAGCCCCTCGAGCGCTCTCCTCTGAGCTACGCCAGCCCCAGCTTTGCCTTGTGGGTTAGCAATAGGCGTACCCTCGTCCCCAAGTCCCTTTGACATGTTCCCCTGTGATATGCCGCCCCTGATGCTGGCTGCTCACAGAAATCCCAGATCCTCCACCCCCAGAGGTCCAGTTTTACATTAAACCACCTTTCCTGTACAACACACAGCACTTGTGAGCACGTACCTTTATTTTGTTATAAGTATATTTAAGAAAGGGTAAAGATTTAACTAGACGAGAGAAAGTACTGGAAACAAATGATTACAATACAAAACAATATCATTAAATTCAAACCTGGGTCTACGCTTATCAATAGTTCCCTCTCCTATGTAATAAAGTAGGCTTTTCCCTCCTAGAGTTCAGGCTGTTGGAGAGCTGGCTGGTTTCACAAGAACCAGGATTTAAATGTTCGTGAAAACAGCCCCTCTCCACAAGGGGTTTCCTTAGTGAACGGATTCAGAGGACTTCTCCTTCCTCTGTGTTATACTGAAACAGTCTTTTGCTTCTATTCACAGACAGGGCAAATGCCTGTTTTATAAGGCTCCTTTTTCACCTTCCAGTGGTTTTGATTGTTTGAAGTTACCTCTGATGGTTTTCCATTGAAAGTCTTGTTATTGCCAAGGCTAAGCAATTGAGCTTTGCATTACATCATCGGCTAAACAGAGTGGGGAGGCAACTCTTCCCGGCCTAAATGGACCATCACCAAGATTGTCCCCTGGTGACTAATTTTTACTCCCAGTCCCTAAAGCATACATTCACTATAAATGCATTATTGCTTAAATATTACCCGTACGGACATCTTGCAAAGATTATGAGTTTGACAAATGACGAGCTTTCTGTGGATAGCTTACATGTCACTCTTTATGGAGAAATATCCTGTAAGACGTGTGCTTGGTGTAATGAGTTTGTCAGGTCTGAGGTGAGGGTTGTCTGTGCAGAATAGAGGATCCTTTGCTTAAGAGCCTCTGTGTCACAGAATCACACACACACAGGTCAAAATGTAGACATACCCTTGGCAGCTTGGAGAAGGAAGGTGAAATTTGGCAGGGGGAAAACCCTGAGGTCACAGAAGTGCCTTTTTGCTCTCCCAGAGGAAATTCATCGAAATTCAGCCCAGTCATAAACCACAGGAAATAATCTTTAAGTGACAATCAATGGCCCGTTAGGGTTTGCACAACGATTGAACATTTTATCAAAATGCAGACTCGCGTTCTACTGGATTGTGCATTCTGCCAGGCCCCTCGGAGCCTTGGCATTATCTCAAAGCAGCCGCATGGAGCTGTGGCTTCCTGTGATTCACAGAAGGGATCTGCCTCCTCCTCCCACAATACCCTTTGGCCTAGAGGCAGGACACTGGGCTAGAGACCAGGAGAAAGTGAGGTCTAGGTTTGCCTCTTGCACTGACTGGCCTTTGATGAGCTGTATTTCACATCCCTTCTTAGGGACTGGGAGCACAGTCTCACATCGGTACCCAAGTCTCAGTCTGAAGACAAGGAAACTGAGACCCAGAGAAGTTGCACAGGGCCATTTCTGGCACATCTGGGACTGGAACAGTTCAGGAAAATCAAGCTGAGCCCTGTTGTTTCAGCGGGAGGCTCGGATGGATCCCGAGTTTAGCAGAGGAGCTGAGTGTATGTGGGAAACTGCGGGAGTGGTGCCACCAATCTGTTTGGGTCAGATCATCCTGTCTTCTGGTAAAATCCTGACTCGGATGGCTCAGGAAGTAGAAATTGCTGTGAGAAGCTCCTCATGTGATTCCCTCATGACCTCTCATCACAGGGTGGGGTGGGCTCTGCACTGTTCATCACCGCATCCCTGTGAGGATAGGTAAATATTATCATCCCCCACTTCACATGGGAGGAAACAAGGTGTGGTTAATAATTACATCAGCCCTGTAAGGCCGATAGGGACTGGAATTTCCTCATTTGATAGCTGGGGAAACTAAGGCACAAAGTCGGGACATGATTTGCCCGAGAGAGTCAATGTCAGAGCTCAGGAGTTCCTGGTTCCCAGTCCTGGGCTAAGAGCAGTGTCCCTTTTCAGCAGCATGAAGAGAGAGAGGGGAGAGGGCTGTGGAAGAATGGCTGATGGCCTTTCAGCTCCAGCATGCGGCTGCTTACAGCTTAATTATACTTGGTCCTGATGTAGGCAGGCTCCCATGAACCCGTGAATAAGAGCAATACCTCAGGATCGGCATTGTAGCTCCTGTAGATTAGAAACTACCAGACCAGATCAGACCTGGGGTCCATCTAGGTCAAGATTCTGTCTCCTGCTTCACAGGAAGGTGCAAGAAACTCTTTGGGAGTAAGCAATGGGATAACCTGCCGCCAGGGGAAGTTTCTGCCTGACATCCGTTAGTTAGAGGTTGGCTCACATGTTGAAGTAGGATGCTTTGGATTAGGATCTGTTTATCTGGCCATGCAGAAGCGAGATCACTGGGAATTAAGCACACCCTTGGGCCCCCATTCGAGCCCAAGATGATTTCATGTATGGCCAGAAGCACATTCAGCCCGTGATCCTGCAGAGATTTCTGCACGTGCTGAAGTTTGCACATGCACCAGTTCCACCGGCATCCAGGAGGCTCCTCACATGTGTAAAATTGAGCCACCTGCACAAGATTTTGCAGGGCTAGGGCCTAATCTGGCAAGAACAAAGCTCCCTTGGGCCCCTGTTCTGGCTGTCCCAGTGCAGCAACCCCTGAGATTGCTCTAGAAAGACGGGCAGACAGACAGATTAGACGGAGCAAAAATATCTTAGTGTCCTGAAGGCACTGGAGCAACCCAGGAATTAAGAGCAGTTATAAATGTTTGAGCAGATATTCCGGGCATGTGACATAACAACTAATGCTTTGCGGGGTCAAGTGAGGTGATAATGGAGCTGAATTTCAGATCAAAGTTGCTTGAAAACCAAATGACAAACGTTTGTGCCTTTTGCCATAATAAACCAGAGCGGCATGGACCTTCCTTTGGTCTGCAGCCTGACTAAACAAGAGGGCTCCAAACTGATCTCTGAGAGCCAGAGCTACTGGCTGTGATTGCCCAGGAGCGGGACAGCCTGTGAGCTGGAAGATGCTATTGGACTGTACCATTACAGCTGCCTCCGCTATAGATTTCCTCGAGGTATCTTTCCCCTTGCAAGCACGGGAATATGCCAGTCAGGAACCACTGTCTTACAAGCAGCAGCTAAGATATTGGTACATAGATGGATATGCATTTTTTTGTCTGCCTTAAAAAATTCTTTAAAAACAGCAAAGCTTGGGGTGTGTCTACATGGAGCAGGACTGTGCACTGCATGGGTGTGATTTCTAAAGTGCGTATTAACTGGTCCGTGTATACCTTGCTGGTGTGAACTAAAAGTTCCCTAGTGCACTTTAACATAGTGCCTTTAATTTTCTACACTAAAACCAGCACCTGGAGATAGACAAATCACCCAGGGGCTGCTCCTCTTGGTCCCATTGATACTAATGAGATGTTTGCTGTTTCTTAAACAGGGGCAAGATCAAGCCCTTACGTTACAAGATCACAGGGATTTGGGGTACATCTACACTGTAATTCGGGCTGGCCCGAATCAGCTGACTCAGGCTCATGGGGCTTCGGGAAGTCTGTATGTACCCTTAGAGTGTTGCGGCTGGAAAAGGCATTGTATTCCTTGGAAAGGAAGATGCAGCCTCTTCTCCTGAGTGGGGAAGCATTTAGGGCTGAATGCTCAAAAGGATTTAGGTGTTCTCCACCTCGGGAAGGTGGGGTATTGATCTGAACAGGGATTTGTCACCTCGCAAATGGCTGCTCTAACCATTGGGCTATTCTCTCTAGCCCGCATAATTCTTTGAGAGCAGGAGAGAGAGCACAAGAATGAGAATGTGCCAGCCACCAGGCTATGAAGTCACTCACCCAGGCGGTGGGTGATCCAGGATCCAGTCCCCCTGTTCCAGGGAGCCGTTCATTTCTCCACAGTGCAACCACTTCAACAGGAGAGACTGAGGGGCCCCCTCCATTAGACTGTCCCAGCGCCCATTGGTTAGAGCACTCACCTGAGAAGTGGCAGATCCCTGTTCAAATCCCTTCTGAACCAAAGGTCTCCCACCACCCAGGTGAGGACCCTAACCATGGGGCTAAAAGTGGTGATGAAGGCTCTCCTCCTCCCAAGCTGTTTCATGTGAGCTCCCCTATGGGGGGGCCTGCTCCGGTAGGCAGCCTCTGAGTGTGTCTGCTGGATTGGGCCCCTCAGACAACTTAGGCAGCTGAACGATTATCCCCGGTTGATGAATCGCTCTGGAGCTTAGGCAGGAGATAGGCCTCCGGACACCACAGAGGGGCCGTAGGGCATGTGCCCAGAGGCAGAAACATAGGCACTGAGGGATCCTTTACTGCAAAAACTTACGGTTTCAGCGGGAGTTTTGTGCATCACAGTGCTTCCAACACTGGGACTTAGACAGTTAAAACAGGGCCAGAGACGCCTGACTACTTTTGAGTACTCCACCCCTACTGACTAGTCCAAAGAAACACTGAAACCTGACCGCTGAATATAATGGTACCAGGCCAGAGGCTCCCCTGGTATCAGCTGGCATAGCTCCGTTCAGTGGAAGGACATTGATTTATATCAGCTGAAGATTTGACTCACTGAGTACATGCAATGATCTAGATGGATACACAGGTCGAGATCCACTGCTGGTGTAAATCAGGGTCACTTTACTGATTTCAATGCACTCGTTACACCCATTAAAGATCAGGGCCACTGGCTGAACAGGTGAAACAATATATTAATATATGTTGGTCTAGACTGGTGGCATGGAATTGCATTTCCTGGCAGGCCAGGTAAGGAAATGTCCAGATCTGGACAGGCCAAAGTGCTCTTCACGTGTGTGCTCTCTGGGGAGTCTGCCAGCAGCCAGGGGTCGCAACCTTTCACGCGTGATGTGCTGAATTGTATTTAATAATCTCAAAATAAAAAACTGGGCATCCATAGGCAATATTCCAATGAAATCTTATAAACAAGTGATTATACAAATAGACTACAATGCTATTAAAACATCATGCTGTCAATATTAATTCTACTCTTAAAGCTATGAAATGAAAATAAGTTTAAAACGCACAAGAAATGCAGGCACGTCTAATTTCCCTGATTGCCTGAGATTTTGACAACACCTTGGCATCATCTTTTTTTTCTGGAAAAGGACGAGGCAGATAGCAATCAAACTAGCTACGGAAAGCACGTCGATTACTGATCGCTGTGTGTCTGAATGAACGTCTGATTAAAAGCGTACTGCTGTAAGTCGAAATGTATCAACACAGGCTAGCGCCAAGGTGTTTAAATGGAAAGGTTTTAAATTAAGTACGTGGCAGGATGGTAAACAGAGGGAAAATAAACTGAGCTGCATCTGCCCACTCCCCATCAATCCTGCTGCTAGCCCACCATCTGCCCAGCCCTCTCATCAGTTGTGGGGCCCCCAGCCTCACCTCTGCTCTTTTGGGGGTTCTTCGGCCCCCTCTCTGAGGCCAGGGGATGGGTAAGCTAGGCTCCTGAGGGGAGGGGACGAGAGCTCTGCTTCTTCCCAGAAGGCTGGCGGTGGGCCAAATGGAAGACCTGTGGGGGCTGGATCTGGCCCACGAGCCCACTGAAGAACAATGGTTTAGATCCTCAGCTGATGGAAAGCAATGTACCACTACTGACTTAAACACAACTAGTCTGATTTACGCCAGCTGAGAATCTGGCCCTGTAGGTCCCCTGATGCTGAATGATTAAGTTATTATTTATTGTATTATTATACAAATAATTCCTTTCTGATCCTTTCATGTCATTAAAATCCATGTTTTCATTATTATTATTATTATTATTATAAACGTATACACAGAATAAACCAAAGCCTTTCTTACCTAGGCTAGATTCACACACCACTGCTGCAGCTATAAGTGACCCAGCTGATGCTCCATAAACTTTGGATGCTGATTTTAGTATCTCAGGTGCCAATTCCAAGAGCGACTGGACCACCCCTATCTGGTAAAGTGCAAGAAAACCGCTGCCTGAAAAAGAAAGAGAGAAGGGGGTGCCGGTGCCATTTAGGTCTTCTTCAGCCATCCCAGCTGCTCAGTCTGCAGAGACGTGGTTTTGTTAGTGGGCAGGCACTCTGTAACTTCGATGTTCAGTTTTGCTGTTACTAGATAAACTCCGAGCCTGCTCTCTTTCCGCCCTTCTCTGACACATTCACTGCTTCTTTCGCAGTTCACACGAATGCCTAAGATGCACTTTTTGCCCTTCTGTGCCAGATCCCTGAGATGTTTTCAGATTCAGTGCCTGCTTTAATTACTTCTCTGGCTAAAAATAAAACTCTCTCCCCCCATCAAAGCAGCTCTAGCAAGATTAGACCCTAACTAGCTATCATGCTTCTGGCTTAAGTAAGGAGCTCCTTTTAAGACAATAACTCATAAATCTTCCCACAGCCCGCACGCCTGTAGAGCGTGTGAAGTCTCCTGCATCTCATGGCCCTAGCTTGGCTTTTTCCGAGCATCCCTTGCAAAATTTCCTCTTTTTTGTTTTTCTCCACTCTTCCTCGAGGGTGTTTTTCTAAATTGGATTCTCCCTCAATCCAGTCTTAGGAACAGCTCAGTGCTGAATGAGCAGAGATTTGCTCAAGGAGCTCAGAGCCTATGGGTGTTACACAAGGGATTACACAGAGGGCTGGGCGATGTTATATTTGAAAACTTGCTCAATTAACCCTATATTGCAATGTCTGTATCCACTGAGAAAATGGACCTTGAACCTGTTACTTTGTTCTTATAAAGACACAACCTCCAAAGACTTCCATTTGCTTTGAATTCTCCACCCAGCTGCGCGCTTGACATGTCACTTCAACAGGATTCTGTCAGGTTTAAATCTCAGAACTTCCATTCCCTGTGTTGCTATCAGCACAATGGTTTATTAAAGCTGAAAGGACTGTTCAAATCTAATGGCCTTATCACTGGTTCTGTTGGTCCTTTTTAATACCAGCGATTGCACCGTGGACAATGAAAATTGTTTAGTCAGTTTCAGAGTCTATTTCCAACCCCCAGTCTGACTGCCACTGAAGTTAGTGGCCCAAATCATGGAGACTGGCCTTTCTACAACAAGAACAGCTTCGGAGGCTTATGATGTGCTACACCACTTAGAATCATAGACTATCAGGGTTGCAAGGGACCTTAGGAGGTCATCTAGTCCAATCCCGTGCTCAAAGCAGGATCAATCCCCAGACAGATTTTTGCCCCAGATCCCTAAATGGCTCCCTCAAGGATTGAACTCACAACCCTAGATTTAGGGGGCCAAGGCGGAAACCACTGAGCTATCCCATGTCCCCAAGTGCAACTTGGAGCAGCCTCAGAGCTGCTCTAACACAGCTGCCAGGGGCTCTCCAGGGAGCCACCGAGGCAGCCCACAAATGGACAGATGGAGCATTCCCTGGCCAGCCCATCTTCCTCCAACCATGCGCCCTATATTTGGGGATGGCGTGGGAACTACGAAAATGGTTCTGTGGCACTCAGAGCTTCCTCCCATGTCCATGAATAGTCTTTATGTTCGTTCTCTGATTGCTCAGTTCTGTTCCTGCAGCCACATGACACAACGGCCAAATCCTGCAAGACCCTGAGTCTGTGCAGCTTGGAGCATAACTCAGTATTTGGCCCTGTGAGGTTTCTGGGTGGGATTTAGGGCCCCTCTACTCCCACAGGCTTCAATGGGAGTTTGAGATGCTAAGCACTTCGGAACAATGCTCCCATAAAGCTTAGCCACAGGAGAATGAATCCAGGGAGAGCCTTTCTTGTGCAGATTGCAGGCACTTGCTTCTTTGAAGCTCCAGCCAGCCTTGCTGTGACCCGCCTAGTCTAAGCAGGTTGCACGTGCCATTTTAAATGGACTTTTGTGACAAGGAAATGAAGTTGGAAGCAAGTTTACAAGGGATGCATTTTGAATCTGATCACATTACCAGTAATGTCTGAACCTCACCTGCACCGCTTACTGTGTTGGGTAGCTACTGCGTACAAGTTCTGTTCCACGTTAGGGCCGCTGGCATGTTTTTGCTCTTAAACAAGTCAAGGCTAGCAGGAAGAATGTATTCTTCTGCCTTGTGTTTCTCTGAAACCTATTGACCTGGGAGAAGGAGATTATGCATCAAGGAGCTCTGTTGGGGGTATCGTTTGAGGTCAGTTTATCACATACTTACATGAATCACTTAAGTATGTACTGTACAAAATGCCATGTACTGAGCTAAATTTAGATTTGGAGCATTTGGGTGGCTGTGGTAGTGTCCACGATTCTACAGAGATGAAATTCAGCCCCGTGCAGTGGGCCATCTCAAAGCCAATGCAACGCTGAAATCCCACATTGAATACTCAGACTAGAATTTATGTGGAACTTCAGTAGTGCCTGGACTATGCACTGGCCCTCTGCACCGGGGTGAATGAATTTCACTCTATCTGGGTCATGTTCTAGGGATTGATTTGATCGCGGTGACGCTGGCTGTTCTGCTGATGCAGTTTGTAAGTTGCCTGCTTTGTCCACTGAGGCAGCCTTGCCTAGTGGAGTGAGTACAGGACTTGGTGTTAAGACTCTTGGGTTCTGGTCCTATCTCTGGCTGCGTGGCCTGGTTTAAGCCACTTCATCTCTGTAAAATGAGAATGCTCTTATTTACCGACAGTGGGTCAAGTTCCTCCCTCATCTGCTTCCCAGGGGAGCTCCGGTCCCGATCCAAAACCTGTTATTTATTAGGGAATCTTTCTACTGGCTTCTCATCAGGCCCCAGTGGACTCATGCTGGGATCTCGTGGTTCGGAGCTAAAGTGCAGTTCTGCTCTTTAAAACTCTGCAAAAATGGCACCTTCTGAGTCAGCAGCCCAGCTCCTCACATGGAGCAGAGTAACATCCCACTTCAGTGACCAAACCAGAACAGTGCGTGCCTGCTTTTCACTCCTGTTAGCGCTGCAGAGAGAAGAGTGAGCTGCAGTATATGCCATCTCATGCAGCACCCACAGAACTGTATGTCCTGCTTGTAGACTCTTCCGTTATTATTGTTAGCGATGCACAACAGTAACGTGATGTGATAGAACCTCTGGGGCACTCTCCAGGAAGGCTGGTTACTGTGCTACCCTTAGAGAAGCTATGGCAATGCACTCCGCTCTGCTCCCCCTGCCCTAGGAGAGCACAACGCTTGTAATCGTGGCTTGTCCTTGTACAGGAGATGGGTCCACGGGGACTTACAGCCTCCCCTCTTTGCCCAGGGGCTGGCCCATGCTTTGCTGAATGTGACACCGCAAGTTGAATCACCTGTCTTCTTCTCTGTCCCTAAAAAGTAGTTGTTATCAGGTTTATCTCCCTTATATGTCACCCACTGCCAGTGCTGGCAACTCTCATGATTCTTATTGTGAGTCGGGTGATATTTAGCATTCTTCTTAAAGCTTCAGCTCCTGGAGTCAAGTGATTTGCTGATCATCTCAGCTTCCATTGAGGGGGGAAAATAAAGCAAGTTTCTAGCCCTCCTGGTTGCAGAGAAAAGCTTGAAAATGTGACCCAAGTGCATCCTTAAGGCTCAAAGTCCAGAAGGCAAACAAAAAGAACCCATCGTTTATTATAATTTTTTTTCAAATTCATGATTTTGAGCCAATCTCATGGTGGGGGGGGAGGTTGGCAATACCACACGACAAACAGAATCAGGAGACCTGCTTCTGACAACAGATCTTTCCCATGTGTTCTCATGATTTGCTCAAACTCCAGCCTACGTTTTCAAGCGTGATGGGGGACTCTGAGCATCACAATTTTGGGAGGATTAACTTGAGAGGCCTAAAAAGGGGCCTGACCTTCAGAAAGTGCTGACCACCCATCCTTTGTAAACCAGGTGGGTGACCCAGAAATGGAGGCCTCCAGAAAATAATAGTCACTTTTGAAAACGTGGCAGCCTACTTTCGTTTGTTTCGTTGGATGAAAATTCCTGCTAGCCCAGTGCTGACTTCTTCCGTGCATGGCTCACCTCGGCTATGCATGTTAAATCAGGACTGTCCTTTGGCCAGATTCTCAGGTCTACTTTCCCAGCTGAACTGAAATCATTCAGCATCCCTTCCTGTGATTCGACCTGTTACAGCGCCTTGCGCCCCTACGTTTCTATGATTCTATATTTCATTGTGCTGATTCAGACCCAAGGAAATGCTGCAGAACAGATTCCCTAGTAGCTCAACGCTTTGGGGCGTAAAAATGTATTCGCATGTTATGTTCCTTTCACTTGCAATTGCTATGAAGAAAAATATGAAATGGGACATCAGTATTCTCCATTCAGTGATCCAGAGAATGGAGGCCCTTTTAATGTCAATGAAAAAAGGACGATCTCTGTATTACAGATTTGCTAAGGAGATGCGCATTGCATTTGACATGCTACGCTAGCAATTGCATGCTGCCAAAGATGGTCTGAATTCTGAACTAGGAACATGATGTCCTAACTGTGTCTAATATTTGCCAAAATCCTATTTGTCCTCAGTATAAAATTTTACATCAGTGTCTTGTTTTTCTCAAACATGATCTTCATGGGGCCGCTGCCCTTTATGGGGGTTTAGGGCTTTGTATGCTCGTGACTTCTTTATGAAGGCCCCCACCTTAGGGTTGCCAATTTTCTAATCGCACAAAACCGAACACCTCTGCCCCATCCCCTGCCCCCCCCCTTCTCTGAGGCCCCGCCCCCACTTGCTCCATTTCCCCTTCCTCCGTCACTCGCTCTCCCCCACCCTCACTCACTTTCACCAGGCTGGGGCAGAGGCTTGGGGTGC